AGAGAGAGAGAGAGAGAGAGAGAGAGAGAGAGAGAGAGAGAACCATTTCGAAATATTTACCGGACAAAAATGTTATTCCTAAGAACAAAATCTAATGGCAATTAATTCTCAAAAGGACATGAAAATAGTGGTTTCAAAAGTATCTAATAGAACATTATATGCGTGCTCTTATTATGAACTTGTGATGTGGCTATTAAGCAGAAGCAATTTTGTAAGAAATTCCCCTACATGTGGTGAAGGTATGATCAAATTCAAATAACCAAACAAAAAAGGCATTTTTTTTTAAAGATTTCTTGCATTTAAGTATGGTATTTTGGGAACAAAATCTGAAACACCCCTCCAAACCTCACATTTCAATTATTTAACATTTTATTCTTTTTCTACCAATCCAACTCAAAATCTAGCATTTTTTTTGGCATTTTGAAAAAAAAAAAAAGGGTAAAATGTTACATAGTTAATGCCTTGGGTGTATCTCGACAAATTTCCCTTAGTATTAAACTTCCTCATAATAGCAATGCCCTACCCTTTAGCAAATTATTGCCCCAGTATCGTATGAACAAAGCTTTGTATATAGGGAAAGGTTTCTATGCTTCCCCTACAACATAGAAGTTCTATCCTCCCCCTACCATCCAGCCGTCCAATTTTGATCAAGCAAGACACTCACTATTTGGCCTTAAATCCGACATCTTAAAGTATTTTATTTTTAGTTTTTTTTTTATACAAATTGTATAAATATGAAATTTGGTACGTGCCATCTTCTCATTGGGGCACACCTATAAAAATATTAAAAATTATTTTTCTATAAAATATAATGACCAAAATACCCTTTGAAACTTTCAGGGGTATTTTGGTCATTTTGTTTTATTGAAAAGATTGTTTTTATATTTTTCGCTAGTGCGAGTTTAATAGAGGAATGGACGTCCAAAATTTGGTGTCAAAATAGTTTATAGAAAAATAAATAAAAATAAAATAGTGTAGAGATGTGACATTGTGATTGCGGCCATCTTAACCGTCCATTCAGAATGGAGGGGATAGAACTTCTATGCTGTAGGGGAAGTATAGAAAGCTTGCCCTTCTATATAATCATATAAATCATCGTTATACACATAGGGTGTATAGAATGCTCCTGCAGGAGCATACTGTACACTTGCTCCCTAGTGCAAAACAATTAGGAAGATTTGGTCAACTTCAAGAAGAAATTCTGGGAATCACCTTAAGCTCACCAGGTAAGTAATTTTGAAAAGAAAATATAATTTGAGTCTGTGAACACCAAAATCTGGACATCTAAAATATGACAGTCTGAGTTGAATCCCAAGGCATGAATTTTTCCCAGCACTTTTAAGAGTGCATATCCAGTTATTCTGTTTTTTAGGTTGGTTGCTATGTTGAATATATTAAATGCCAAATTTTGGGTCCTAAAAATATGCCCCCGTGAGCGTAAAACTTATTCCTTAAACATATTATAAATTAATAAAGGGCATTGTCTATAATTAGGTGGTTTACTGCTAATCTTAACTTTCAAGCATGTGTTTGGCCATGCTGTCTTCAAGAGGAGATAAATAGGTACCTTCGGAATCAAGGCCTCCTAAGACATTGAAAGCATAGTATGGAAAGAAACGCTTATAATAGAGAGTATTTGAAAGGAGTTGAGCCATGGCGGGGCAGCTCATTTGCTTGTTGTGCTGATGTTGATAGATCTGCAGAGATAAAAAGTAAATATATCAGTACCACCAAAGAAAGTTAAACAAGTGCTGCTAGTGGAGACAACAAAACCTCAGCTTAATGAAAATCAACATGAAGTGCATACAAAATGAAAATATAACTCAACAGATTTAAGTCAGAAACCGATTTACAGATACAAGTCTGTAGAATAGGTATCGGAGAGAATCTGACTAAACAGTTTATAGAAGTGCCCCAGTACTGAAATTGAAGCTTATATCAGAACAAAACGCACTAATTAGCATATGCAAGTGTTGGCAAAAAGTCATTTCAAAAAGTGACTTTTATTAACTGCCTACCTTACTAAAAAAAACAAACAAATTTTTATTCATTACCTACAAATGTTCTAGGTAACCTGATGTGTAACTAGCACCCCATTAGTTTGCTAGACATTATTCATAACAAGAAGGGAATCAATCATTTTCATTTTTTCTGCATAATGGTTAACTTTGTTATAGTGTTGCAAATCAATCATATCAAGTGTCGCCGACTAGCGAATCAAAGAGCATGAACGCAAGAAGCATCACAAACATGCAATTAAAATAAATTTCTATTTGCATACATCTCATAGAAGATGCCGCATGTCGCATGCCATGAACAGACGATGTGTGCTATAACCACCATCACGTGATTACTTACCATGATGTGATAATTTAAAACCTTATCCACAATTCAGAGTTCCACAAAACATACGTTGCATGCCATGAACAGATGATCTGTGCCATAACCACCATCATGTGATTACTTACCATGATATTATTATTTAATACCTTATCCATAATTCACAGTCCCACAAAAAATTCCAAGCTCTTTACATGATCACGGCTAGAAAGCAAATTATGACGAGGATGACATCCTCATTATCCCTAGATTCAACTGGCTACAGATACAAAATAATTTTTCGGTTATGTACTAAACTATAACATCTGAGAGCAGTATAATAGGAACTAAATATAGTTAACTAGAGAACTAATGTCAAGATAGCCCAGCCCATCAGTTTAACAAAAGATTTTATCTCCCACTCACCCCACCCAAACTAGCCAACATTGATACCCTGCTTTATTACTCATATTCATCCCAATAAAACAGTTTGTTGTACCATCTGCCTAATCTAGGCTGTCATTCCTCTAATAACTCACAAATGTGATCAATGTAGGCCCGTACAAAACATCCCCGCCATTTCAAGATTAATCAATGCCCATTAGTAGGATTCTTACTAATATAACGTATTTGTATTACACTTTCCTATTTGTATCAGCCCTTGACAGACTATGAGCAGAGGCACATTTTACCTCAAACATCCTTTGACGATACAGTCCCAACATACAACATGGTAAATTCCAACATATAGTTTGTGGCCTCACTGAGGATATAACCCGTTATAGAGCAAAATGGCAGACTAGGATTCGTGTAGTGAACCCCAAATAGTTGGAAAAAAGCTTTGATGCTGATGATGACTTTGTGGGCCAGTTTGGATGGCAGTATATGAGGCACTTCAGAAAGTTGCCTCATCACTGATTTGGGGAAAAATTGCATTTTAAAATTTAATCTCAATTGTAGATAATTCTCGTTTAACATACAATATTGGCATACTTAATATAGATAAGCATGCCCCATACACACATGGGGTGAGAGAGAGAGAGAGAGGAGGGAGAGGGGGGGGAGGGGGGGGGGGGGGTGGAGGGAGGAGAGACGACACCTACAAGTGCTATAGTCGTTTGTCCTATAATTTACTGAAACTTTTTCTTCCTATAATTTACCGAAACTTTTCTAATTTTTTCTAGATCTTTTCTGGCTTTTTTCTCTCTCTTTTTTTGTTTTTTTTTGTTTTTCTGTGAATGGATGCGGTGCAACTAAACCAATGCCCTCACTGGTGTTTGGTCTATAGTTACTTGAATCGCCTATGAGGGTAGCGATTCCATTTCGGAATCTCGATTCAGCGTTTCCCATGGAGAAAGTCGATTCTAAAAGAAAGGAATCACGTTTCCATTTTTTGCGGAACGCGATTCCACCTAGTTTAGGAATCTTGATTCTTGGATTGCCGGAATCAAGATTCCATATCGAGGACTTTGCGATTCTTAGATACACAAGAATGCGATTCTGCTTGGAGAAACATTGATTCCAAATTTTTTGGAATTGCGAATCCATGTTGTTTGGAATCAAGTTTTTATATCGCAGATCGTGATTCCTTGCTACACAACATTGCAATTCTACTTATGCTAAACGTTGATTCAAAGTATTAAGGAATTGCGAATCCATGTTGTTAGGAAGCAATGTGAGCATAGGAGAGCAGAAACCCTTCGATGTATGCTCAATCATGAGTGAGCGTGACATGTATGAGAGCGTGAGAGAATTTGAAGCTCTTACGAATGGCAATAAAATCAAAATTTAAAATATGAGTAATATGTGAGCATAGGGAGAGCAGAAACGCTTTGATGTATGCTCAATCATGAGTGAGCGCGACATGTATGAGAGCGTGAGAGAATTTGAAGTTGTTGCACACGGCAATAAAATCAAAATTTAAAATATAAATAATATGTCAAATTTTTTATTTTCTTATTTACTAATTTCCATCCTTCATTCCATGTTACTTTTTAAAAACTCTTACCAAGAATAAATAATACTAAAAAAATATGTTACTTCAAATTTAATAATGTTTGACAAATGGTGTGGGTACTAAACTATTAATGTAATAATGTTTAATATATCATCGGCACCATCATTTCTTCAAGTTGAATAAGAGCATAAAAATGCTTTTATTTAAGTAAAGTAAGAAGATAATAAGGATAAGAGCAAAGTGCCTTGTGTGGTGTTTTAGGTTAAATTAATCATTAAATATCAGAGAAATTGACTAAAAATTGAATAACTCATTTTTCAAAAGTCAAAAGACTCAAAACTATATTTAACAAAAAAGAATTACTATGTCATGTACTTATTTTATAATTCAAGGAAAGGAGATAAAGGAAGCTTGCCTTGTTCTCACTCCTTGTGTGCCGTAGACTAGCTCCATACTTTGTAGGCATAATAGGGTTATCGGTAGACCGAGTCCATTGTATGGGATTGTCCACAAAGATATCATAAAGGTTGACATTAATACTTGGAGTCTTGGACTGAGTATATACATATCAAAATTCGATCTTGTAGTAATGGGTAAATTTATATATTTTCTGAAGACTTCTCTCATATACTAGAGGGAATTGGTTCGCAATTTTAGTAAGAGGAGAATCTCGATTCCGGAATGGTGAGAATGTTGATTCCAAGTTGATGGAGACCGATTCTAGAATTTTACGAATCAGGATTCCATATTTTTAGGAATCACGATTTCAGCAACCACCGAAACAAGTGGGGTCATGTGGGATGCCATATAGGTATGAAATGTGATTCCAACATAAAGGGACATCGATTATTGTAAATAGGAAACTCGATTCCTAATTTTTTGAATTGCGATTCCGAAATAGTGATAATCATTTTTCCCAAATCCGAATTGTACGGATAGCGATTCCTAGATTCCGAAACTTCTGATACATGCGATTCCGTTTCTAGAAGCGATTCAAAATCATAGACGTTTCCAACAACTATAGCTTGGTCCCATCTTGATAACATTGAGATCAACACATTATCCACAATGCTCGAGAAACCAAGGTGGGGACTAATCAATTATGCTTACCAAAAACAGTGACATACAATGAAAAATTCACCTAAACCAAGCCAAAGTCGTAATGCTTTATGGGCATAACAAAAGTTGAGCCACCATGCGTACTCATTAAAAACAATAAATCAACTATGAGTGAATCAAATGTCCAATCAAGCTGAATCCAAATACGCATTTAGGCTACTTAATGTGCAAGAGCATGATTGATGAGGATCAATCTTTTAGTGGAACTCGTTTCCTAAACGATAAACATCACTAGCAACATACTCCCGAACCACTCTCAACAATTTAAACCATCAAGAATTGATGACAGCTTACATTTTGTCATTGCTTGTCAAGTATAGAAAAGTTTGATAAACTCATGTTTTAGGAAGTGGAGTTGTAATTTGTGAATTCCAGATATAAGAGCAGATATATTCATAAAATCGAGATTACCATAAAATACAACGGAGAAAGCCTCAAATAGCTCCAACATCTGTCATGTTTCTTTCATGACACTCCATTGATGGGAGCACCATTAAGGATAGCACCAAGACCTATAATATCATCTCTTCTACAGGTGCATAAATTGGCACATGTCGGAAGCCAATCTACAAGATTTCTCAGTACACATGCAAGGCAGTAAATATCATCAAGGATATCATTATTGCAATGAACATAATATATTTCCAATTTTCCAAAAGCAATATTTGTTAGGTGTGATCCAATTTTCCAATCTAATAGAATGCCCTACATACATCACAATCTTCAATTATATCAATGCCGTAAATTCATTGATGCATGATTTGGATTCAAACTCTTCTACTGACCAAATGTTTAGCAGCCAAATGCTTCTGAAGAGCCTTCACATCAGCCTGAAATCCGGAAGAAGCCATAATACTTTTGTCCGCTCTGCAAAAATATAGGCAATACTATGAACACAGAATTGACTAACCTTGAAAATAGTTTTACTTATTCTGATTGGTATCCTTATAACAATTGTTTAAACTTTAAAGAGAGCCTATTCATGCATGAACACTTCTCTTTCTGATATATGCTTATCTATGTATATGTGCAGTATGCAGGTGGAATCTATGCCTCCATGATATGCTACAGAGATAACAGTTATCAATGTACACACCTAGACATCCAAATAGCACAAGATGACAATGGAAAATGACAAGATAAAACAGTAAATAGAACTCACAAAAAGGAAGAATCGGCATACCTAATTACCATAAACATAAATCTTCCTTTTATGTGCCATTTTATTACCCAGATCCATGTTTTGTCTATTGTGTCATTTCGAGAGAGCAAACGAGATGTAATCTCAGCCCCACCTATTCATATATCATTCTCACGTTTTGCTTTAAATCTCCCTTTTTTTACACTCTCTTGAAGCTTATCCGTACTTGGATTTTGATCTACCTTTCCCTGCATGTTTATACTGATTATTCATGTTAACATTTGCTCATGCTGGTTATTGTTTCAGTAGTTCATCTTTCCCTTGATTCATTTTCTCTATTATTTCAGCTTTCCATAAAGAAAGAAAAGTAGTGAGGTTTTTAGACTTTACACCAGAAACACTAGGAATTGATGCTATAGAATAGAAGAAAAAAGTCATATTGTATGTGAGAGATGTTTTTAAATGTCAATGATTTCAGCTTCCATAAAGAAAGAAAAGTAGTGAGGTTTTTAGACTTTACACCAGAAAGACTAGGAATTGATGCTGTAGAACAGAAGAAAGAACAAAAGAAAAAAGTCACATTGTATGTGAGATGTTTTTAAATGCCACAAAAAGGATGAATCTGGATAATGTAAAAGCTATCACTCTTATTAGTTTCAAATAATTTTCGCCTACAAAACAAATTAATTAAGTAATTAGAAAGAAGTCACTTAAGGCTACTATGGAGTATGGATTGGTAACAAAAATTCAGAAATCTCTCAAAGAACATGCCATAATGGATCAATAATGTGTTCGAAATTGTTGGAGGAGTGATTCCCCATCAAAACCAAAATGATTCTTTGGAAAACCACCTTTGTGAGATATTGGTATTTTTGAGTACCAATATCTCACTCTAAAATACCCAATGAGATATCGCTATTTTAGAACACCAATATCACACTCAGTAAATTACCATGATATTAGTATTTTCGAACACCAATACCTCACTAAGTCACCTTGTGAGAGATTGGTATTTTGAATATCTCCTGGTGTTAAGTTTTCATATGATAATGGTGTTTCCAATCACTAATATCTCACTCTAACTGCCTTTGTGAGATAGTGGTATGTTCGAATAGCAAAATCTTACCAAATAAGTCACCCATGAGACATTGGTGTTTTGAAACACCAGTCCCACAAAGCCACCTGTGAGATTTTGGTATTTATGAATTCCAATATTTCATAGTGTTAAGAGTGAGATACTTCATACATAATTTTCTTCCTAATCACTTAGGTTTTGATGGAGGGGGCACACTGGATATTACCCCTTCATCAATACTTGAGCCCTTATGTTGTGTACTTGATGGCATACCTTGATGGGCTTTATGGAAGTAGGACAAAGGACATGGGGACAGGGGTGAAATGTTATATAGTGATCTCTTGGGTGTGGTTTGATAAGTTCCTGAAAAATATAAAATGAATTCTGGGCTTGTTCTGTATTGTTTAACAACAGCCACGAAGATGAGACTGTTGCAAACTAAACACCCAATAAGTGCATAATTATTCCACAAGTTCATATGAAGGTCAAAAAATCTAAAAGATGAGAGGTTTTAATAATGCCATGATCACACTCATTAAAATGAAGCAGCCTGTGGGTTATCCCGCTACAATCACCTGAAATCAATAGGATAACCGCACTCCAAAGGTGAATTAAACACAAGCAGTTTCTAGTTGAATAAAATGTACTAGGCAAAACATGGGAAGTCAAAGACAATCCGCTCCTTGATGAGGATTGCTAAGATTCTCAATTTAAAGTGTCTGAACTCCAATCATTCAAAGCTACATTGTAGTCACTTAAGACTACCAAGTACAAACTTCTTTTTCTTTTCTTTTTTTCCTTTCTTTGATGGGAAAATTCACGTGGGACAAAAATTTTCAACCCCCATACAAATACGAAAATTCCACAGCAATGCCAAGAAAAAGGAGTAGTACTATTTCACATGTAGCACAGCAACACAGCATGCTACCATAGAATCAAAACCACCAAAAGACATTCTAAAAAAGCACAAAGGTGATACATCAAGGACAACCTTAACATATGTGTAGCAAATAAGTAATTTCTTAGATATCATCTTCTAAAATGTACATCTTGTAATAGAGACAGGGTTTATGTTCCTCAAAAGTGACTTTTTTTTTTTTTGAAAGCGTCTTAAAAGTGACATTCATCACATGCTTTAATGTACTCATCTTTCTTTCAAGGAATAAAAGGGTGGGGTCCCTAGGAAACCCCTTGGTACCATAAAACATATTTTTATTTATATGGTTAAGGAATAACATCAAATCAATACTTCCAGAATTTATTTATATAGTTAACGAAAAAGGCATCATTTTATTTCAAATTTAGAAGTTAAAAGGCAATCCAATTGAAAGGCATCAAGTCCGTGATGATATAGTTTGTCCTTTCTATCAAGTGAGATATGATTTTGTGGATGAGTTTGATGGTTCATTCTTTCATGTATCCCATTGTCCTCCATTGTCAATTCAAGTTGCAGGAAACTTCCTTTCTCTAAACATTAAAGCATCTCAAATGACAGGAAATTGAAAGTTACAAGAACAGAAACCATTTCCCAGAAGACAAATGTATCCAATGACCAAACACAAGATGAGTGGATACACCATAACCTTGATCAAGCCACTAGCCTCACAACAATAACCAAGATGCAAATCCTCACGCCTTCAACGCCCAAAACTTTCCTTTTCTTTATGTGTAGTGAAATAATATGATAGCAAAACAAAAACATGTCAAACTTGCACCAAACATTATTTTGATCCCATAGAAAGTCAAAAAAAAAAAAAACAAAAAAAAAGGTACAATGGAACCCTTTGTCCATTTGATTCTCTAATCAAATGACACAACATAGATATCATCATCATCATCAGAGCCTTATCCCAAACATTTAGGGTTGGCTACACGAATTCTATTCTGCCATTATGCTCTATCAAGATACGTTTAGTAAGACCATAAGTCCCCATATTTTTTCTTATTACTTCCATCCATGTCCTTTTGGGCCTTCCTCTTGCCCTTTTAAAGTATTCCACTCAAACAAAATCACACCTCCTAATCAGTATTGTATTGCGTCTACGATACACATGGCCCCCCCACCTAAATCTACTTTCCCTCATCTTATTGCCTATTGAAGCTACACCTAAGTTCACCTGAATGTATTTATTTCAAATTCTACCCTTTCTTGTCTTGCCACTCATCCATCTCAACATCCTTATCTCAATTACACTCATCTTATGGGTGTGTTCTTTTTTGACTGCCCAACATTCCGTCCCATAAAGCAAAGCTGGTTTCACAACTGTCCTATAGAACTTCCCCTTCAGCTTCATTGGTAATACGACAATCACATAAAACTTCAGATGCGCATCTCCTCTTTGCCCACTTAGCTCTAATTCTATGCACAACGTCTTTCTCATCTCTCTATTTTCCTAGATTATCAACCCAAGGTATCGAAAATACTCTATTTTCGGTATTTCTTGGCCATAAATCTTAACTACTTTCTTGTTTCTACTCCTATTATTACTAAATTTGCATTCTATATATTTCGCCTTGGTCCAGGTAATTTAAAACTTTTAGATTCTAGAGCATCCCTCCAAAGTTCTTTGTGATGATGCCGCTTCTAGCCTCATCGATCAAAATTTTATCATCTGTGAACAACAAAAACCACGATACCTCATCTTATATGTGCCTAGTTAACTCGTCCATAACTAAAACAAAGTGCTATGGGCTCAACGCTAACCCCTGCTATAGACCTATTGTCACTGAAAACTCATTCGTCTCTCCACTAATTGTCTGTACACTAATTAACGCTCCCTCATACATATATCTCACCATGTAAATATAGCATCTAGAGATTCTTTTCTTTTCCAACACCTACCAAATTAAATCTCTAGGTACCTTATCTAAGCTTTCTCTAAACTAATAAAGATCATTTGAAGGTTTTTCCCCTTCTTCATGAACTTCTCAATCAGTTGCCTAAGCAGGAAAATGGCCTCAATGGTTGACCTCCCTAGCATAAGTCCGGATTGATTTTCAAATACATTCCTTTCGTGCCTTAGTCGTTGCTCAATCAATCGCTCCCTTAGCTTCATAGCGTGGCTAATAAGTTTGATCCCTCAATAGTTCGCACAATTCTATATGTCTCATTTGATCTTGTAAATAGGTATCATAATACTTTTCCTCCATTTGTTTGGCCTTTTCTTTGTTCTCAACTCCTTGTTGAACAACTTGGTCAGCCAATATATATTAATCTCTCCTATGCACTACCAAACCTCTATTGGGATACCATCTCGTCTTAAAGTCTTTCTTATCTTCACCTCCTCAAAGCGTCTTTCACATCAAATATCCTAATCTTGCACATGTATCGACGACATTTGCCACCATTTATGCCAAAGGTTCTTATTAGCATTGTGTTCCTATAGTGTTTGTCATTTAACAATTTTTGAATATAAACTCTCCACCATTTGTTGACCTCGTCATCCTTTACTAAGACCCTATGATCCTCACTATTAATGTATTAATATGGTCTAGATCTCTACACTTCCTCTCTCTCATTTTTGCAAGTTTGAATACCTCATTTCACCTCTGCTATTCCTAGTTTATTGCATAGATGTTCATATGCTTTAAGTTTAGCGTTACTATTTTCTTATCGGTTTTTCCTAACATTTTTATATTCTTCTAAGTTTTGATTATTTCTATTACATTGTCAAGTTTTCTAACGTGATCGGTTTCTGCTAGTGACCTTCTGAACCTCATCACTCCACCACCATGTTTCCTTATCGAAATTTCTTCTGTCTCAAGTTTCTCCTAAAACTTCTTTTGCCGCACATAGATATACTATGTGCTAATATGGAAATTTCAACACCCTCAATAGGTACATATAATGCCTCTCAATGGACTTATCTATTAAATTGAGTAATTCTTCACCATGACAGGACCAAAGCAGGACCAAGAAAAACAGTTAGATCTAAAAATAAAGCACTGATCTGTAACTTGGTATCAAAGATACACATGACACATCAAACTTCCAAAAATCCCTTGCCTAAACAATCTTTCAGTGATCCTCGGAAAGTCCCACCAATGTTAGTCCTAGGCTCCTGAAAGAACTACCATCAAAATGAAGCCCCAAGAAGCGCCCTTCCTGTAATCTATTTAGTAGATGAAACTTGCAACTCGATCTCTATTGGCCACCTCATTGTGGAAAAGGAGGAGACGAAAAGATTATGGCCTGTTATGAGTTGTGTGGATAACACCAAACATCAGTGATCTGGATGGAGGGGAGTTCAATACGTGACAAGAAATTATCTGTTCAATTGCTTTCAAGTATGTGAGGCAGATGGGGAGCTAAACAACTCCTGGTATTTTGACGGGTGGGTGTATGAAACATTAACCAGTGGAGAATGGATTTTATTTCCCCTAAAATGTAGGGCAAGGAAGCTCCATCAAGAGTAGCTTCATTTCATAATGATAAAAATTCTCAATGTCCATAATCCACTGCATAAAGGATGAAGACTAATATCTGTTTTCTATCAAAACAGTTAGAAAATAATGATAGGAAAAATGGACAAAACACAGAAAAATAAAACATTCAAGGAAAACGATGAGTGAGGGTAGCAGGACAACAAGTAACAAAGAAAGGGGATGAATGTTTTAAGGCAAGGAAATCACATTCAAATAAAATTTACAGCAGAGAAAGAGAGATGAAGCTCATATTAAATCAAGCAACTAAATACCTAACAATAAATATCAAGAACCTCCACGCTAATCAGAGAAGAGAATATAAGCACATTTACCCAACTAATCAGAACGATGACCTTGAAAACCCCCAAACAATCCATGTTGTGCCCATAAATACTTCCTGAATTCTCCACATTTAAGAAACCTTTAAACAACAATTAAGAGAAAACACAAAATTTCTAATGTCTACAGATTTCGGAGAACTACTAATTTACAAAACAAGCCCAGTTTCTGCAGGCTTTGAAATTTCCAACTACGTCCAAGAAATCAACAATTCCTGAAGTCTCATCCCAGTATATCCAAATTCACAAAATTCAAACCTCATCACAATAAACCCAAAAAGAAAGAAACAAAAGCATAAAAAATAAATAGAAAGGCAGGGCAAGGATCCAAATAAACGAATAAAGGGGATCAAAAAGCCATACAATTGGCAAATCTTGGAATAGTCACGAGTGAGGATACTATATCCAGTCGACATTCGCGTATCAGCAGCCACAACGCAGTAATTGCCGCCGGCAATCGCAACAACCGTCCTAAAAAACAAATCATCAGACATTAGTGAGTTGTTCGATTGATCAAAGCGAAAATGAGAGATCGTGAAGAAAGAGAGAAGAGAGAGGTTAATGAAGAAAGTACCCTCCATTATTGTCGTAGGGACTCCAGTTTGCGTGCTGCTTAGTTGCTGCTTCTACAGGCGCCATTGATGAAAGCAGGAAAACACCAAGAAAATTAATACAAAAAAATAAAAATCTTTTGTGTATATGAAGCACGAGTTGCGTCGTGGCTTGCTCTGCAAGTATAACTTGGGCAGGCAGGTTTTGATGCGGAGGATTGGAAGACCTTTAGACAAATCTTCGATTCGGAGTCCTTTTCGAAAAAGTTTATGTAGAGCCGAGGCAATAAACAATCAAATTAGAGCCCTCTTCAAAAATAAATTTTTCTAGAAGAGATTGTTTTGATGACCAAATATCTTCAAATTGATCATCTCGACATCAAGATGCATGAACATAAGAAAAAAAATGGATTTCAAATTTTGAAAATAGTGTATCTTGTAACACATTTTTTAACTGTCAATTTTCAAGATTTTCAAGTTTTTTTAGATCTCTACACTATTTTTGAAGCTTTAAATTTTATAATTAAAAATGAAAATATATTTTAAAGCTATCACAAAGATTGTCAGTATTAAAGCCATATTTCTTGACAATATTTGAAGGTATGCTTTACTTTGATTGTTTAGAGCATCATCTCTATACAAACCCAAACCTTTTAGTCGGGGTGTGGTTTGGTTGTAACTTTAAACAATCCATTTAAGGCGCACCACCTCTAAATTTCATTACAAATGTAATTTTGATATAAAAATTTCTTAGGATGACTTGAGAATCTATTTTCAAATCTAATCATAACATTTTAAACTCTAAAAATGGTTCAAATCAAATAGATATATAAACACATGAAAATCTTGATAATGGACGATCTAGATAATGCATTGCAAGATACACTATTTCCTGAACTCGAAATCATTTTTTCTTTCCATATTCATAAATCAAGATGTCGAGATGATCAATTATATAGTTTTCCAATATTCAAACAATCTTTTGTGATATATTTTTGAAGTGTATATTTAGTTCTACATTTTAAGGTTGCAACTTTATTTAAACTTTTGCCTTTAGTTGGAACAATAAGTTTCTTATTTTTAGCTAAAAGAAGGAAAAAACTCTTAAGTAGGCTTTTTACCAAGTAAGAGGATGGTACCCTCATTCTTTAATGATAAACTTTGTCCCAAGCATTTTTAGGAGGAACAATTGTTTCATGCGGGCTGGATTGCATTTATACAATATGTGGCCCAGAGGTATAACACATCCATCTTAAAGATGGATGCAAATAGGTAGCCCATCTAAAAACAATTGTAACTAATGGTTTAGATGTTTTCTTAATATAATTATTATTTCTAGATTTCAAAATTTATTTATTTTTTCATATTCATGATCTCCATGTTAAATATTATATATACTCTAAAAATTAGAATGAAATTATATTCAAAACATATATTTATTGTCAAGCCCACATTTCTACAATATATGGGCTAACTGCGTCCTTTTATGTCACGACCTCGCCCCCTGGTCCTTGCTGCTCACTACAGAGGGTAGCAGGGTGCGGATTCGTGATCCAAAGGTAGCGAACACTACTCAAGACGGAGTGGTGCGTTGCTTTGATAAAGCGGTAACTCAAACAAACTAAGAAAGTAAAGAACTCTAACACAAGCACATGAACTAGGTAAAAGGAGAACTAAGATTTATGCCATTACATAAATATCTTGGAGTAATACAACTGTTCAAGGCACCAAAGGCCTAAAATACAGAAATACATAGTTCCAAAAGAACAACCAAGAATAAGGCCCAAGGCCAATAAGTACATACAAGCAAAAGATCTTTTCGACCAGCAGGAATCTTCCTCAACAGATCGACCATCGCACCAATAGCTCCTGACCTGCAGCTTCTACCCTACAAAGATGGGAAATGAGCTGTAAAACCCAGTATGAGGATCTAGTAGTTATGCATCTATGACATATCTATTATGGCATTATAAATAATTCTTTTATCTATAAGCAATCATAATGGAAAAAGTATCATGTTAGCAATCTTTCCAACACATTCATCAAAGATGGCATATCGCATAGCATGATTATCATAAAACCAGTATTACTGCCAGCATTCACAGTCACACATTCAATTGTTAACCACTTACTCAGATTCACCTACTCCCAAAGCAGAAGCCCTATTCATCAGGCCAAACCAATCCTATTGTTTATGATTTCTACCATCACTTGGGAGAGAGGGCAATGACAATGAGTGTCCCATTCGGTAATGCCCTTGCACTCACACACACAGTCCCCAATGGGCTTTGGGGCTTTTAATAGGCACTTGCCTTGCATGGCATGATTCATTATTTTCTCTTTACAATACATTAAATTTCAAGGGGGATGCGACCCATCCATCACACTTTCCACTTAACTCCCCTCCTATCATATGGAGATTTAGGGAACATTGCCGGCCTTACTCTGATATCAAGTCACCTCATACCACCACGAGTAACCCGTGCGTAGCGTCATTGAATCACTTCACTATTATCAAACGCGAAAGAAGGTCATGCTTGAAGCATGCTATCATATCACACTTCACTTAGCATTCATCACTTTGGTGCTTACGCCTTTCACATTGCCAACTAATAGAATTTCACTATTTAGCATTCATTATATGGTATTTTCAATTAGCACATGAATATCACATGATATTCACTTAGCATTCATCACTTTGGTGCTTACGCCTTTCACATTGCCAACGAATAGAATTTCACTATTTATGTAACAATCCTAAAATTTCAAAAAAAAAAAAAAAAAGAGAAAATATGCTTATAAATAGGTGATGTTCTGTTTGAGTATGATGGTCCTTGGGGACCATCACTGTTTTCAAAAACTTTTGCTTTGAATTAACTTTTGCTTTGCCTTTACTTTTTTCCTTTCCCCGCTTTTGCCTCCTTTGCAGCTGGCAGCATCCTTTAGCGGACGTGGTTTTTGTACGATAAACGTTTGCTTTTAACGCGACACCTCAGGTATGAGGTAGAGCGTAAGAAATAATATAATAATACGTTATAAGAATTTAAATAGGGGATGTGAGCACTCCCACCTTAAAACAAAATTTTGAGATCTCTCTCTGGTCGAAACACAGTGAACTTCTCTCTCAAACCGAAAATATTTATCGGAACCTCCCTCTCAAATAATTGTGGGTAAGTGACATCGTCTTTCTGAAAAATAGTCTATTTTTAATAAATAGTGATATTTCCGTCTAGGATCTTTATTTTATCAGTTTTGTGTGTAAGTGACCTCATTGTCTT